AAATAAGAATTGATTTATTGTAGAAAATGAGAATTCCTACCAAACAGGCTCAATTAAGTTCACTCTTCTTATTAATTTTTCAACCACACATTTTATCAATTTTTATTAAAATATATAAAAAAAATTATATTTAATCTAAAACAAACGGGGGCTTAATATATTTGTAAAATTAAATATTACATCGTCTTAGAAAGGAATAAAATTGATATATTCTTTATTGTATTTATGGTATTATAGTAATAATATCTTTAACGGGAAGACAAAATACCTCCTCTTTACAACGTAACACATTTGTTCCATCCTAAATTTGTCTCGATTAAATAAAAATATATACACTCTAAATAAATAAACGAGAATATATTGATGGCAACGGGGCAAGGCGGCCATCCCCATCCCATTGAGAACTTTTAGGAGGTGAGACGAGCAGATGATTAAAGTAATTTATCGTAACTTTTAGTTATTTATTTATTTTCATGTTATTTTTTGAAATTTAATTTAAATTGAAAAATATAAAATCAAATAAAATGAAAAGATTCGAGGTGGGATAAAGGCAAGGCGGGAGTCGTGGAGAAATTTTTGCCATTCCTATAAAAATCTTGAGAAATGAGGGGAAAAAAAAACGAACTAAGATAGTGAAATATTATTTAAGAATTGATTCAAATAATTTACCTAAAAATACTTTTGATTAACAAGTGAGGAATCCATTATCGAAAAAGCCCTCAGGGGAAATTTCTCAAATTTTTAAAATTAAAATTGACGTACATCATAAATCTCATAAAAGCTTGTGAAATTTACCCAATGTTCTACAAAAACTTCCACAAGTGAGCTAATGGACGACTAAAGACTGCTTCAAATTCAAACATGAGGGCTCAGGGCCCCACAAGAAGTCAATACCATGACTTGACCAAAAGCAGAGGCCCCAACCTAACCCCACCCCCACCCCTCGCCACCACTAAAAAACCCCGCTCACATGACCTTTGTTTATATATATTCAGAAGTTTCTTAACTTATTTTTCAAACTAACCTAAATTCTATTAACCTTTCACACACACAAACAAGAAGTGAGTGGGGGAAAGATCTTGGAACCATGGAAGCGGATAATATTAGCAGTGTAACTAATGTTAAAGATGAAGAAGATGGTGTTCTTCTTCCAGGGTTTCGATTTTATCCTACCGATGAAGAGCTCGTAGGGTTTTATCTTCGAAGAAAGGTCGAGAAGAAACCGATTACTATTGAACTTATCAAGCAGGCTGATATCTACAAGTACGATCCATGGGACCTTCCAAGTATGTCGTGATTTCATGCTTTATTTTCCAAACTTATAGTGTTTTTATTAAATTTTTGTCCCTTTTTTCATGAATAAAAACATATACATTTTAGAATCCACCAATTTATAAGCGTTTTTTTTTTTTGTGCACATTCAGAAGGCAGCAACGTAGGGGAGAAGGAGTGGTACTTCTTTTGCAAAAGGGGAAGAAAATACAGAAACAGCATAAGACCCAATAGAGTGACAGGTTCAGGATTTTGGAAAGCAACTGGAATAGACAAACCAATCTATGGAGAAGGCCGTGATTGCATTGGCTTAAAGAAATCACTGGTTTATTACAGAGGAAGTGCTGGGAAAGGCACCAAAACTGATTGGATGATGCACGAATTTCGTCTTCCGGCTACTCATCACAGCAATACAAAACAACTAACTGATAATCAATGCATTGCTCAAGAAGCTGTAAGAAAGTTCTGAAAATCCAATCCCAAAAGGCATTAGGAATAGTAGAACATACTTCACTTTCAATTTGGTTTTGGAAAAATGAATTTTTTTCTTTTATTGAAGAGTTTTGTAATTGCTCTTCAATTCTTTGAAATTTAATTTCTTCTTTGAGAAATTGATTATGTTTTTTCTTAAAAGTGAATAATTTTTTAAATTGATACTTCTTTTAAAGAATTCACATCTTTATAAGGAGGATTTGTCAACTTGAAAAATATATCTTGACCCAAAATATTTGTAGTAAGTCCTTTTGAATCAGATTGAAATTATATATATTTGTGTTGTTTGTTATGTTTGGTTTTTTGAGCTGAGTTTTGCTCATACAGGAAGTTTGGACACTCTGTAGAATATTAAAGAGAAATGTTTCCTACAAAAAGTGTGTACTAGACTGGAGAGAAATGTCTGGTAAGAAGAGTAATCCAGTGGATTCAAGCTCCAAATCATGCAGCATGAAATCTGATCAAAGCTTTATCAGTTTCAGCGATCCTGACCTTCAGATCAAGAAACCCTTTTCCAATCATGTGGAGAATATTGCAGATCAACAGTTTATGGGGCAGTTCAATTCAGTATATGGTCAAGCACCATCTTCAATATTTTCAACTTCTGTGTGTTCGTCGGACACGAATGAGTTGTCAAGGCATGCAGATTGGGGGGATCTTAGATCGATTGTGAACTCTTCTGCTTATCCCTTCTGTTTGTAAAATGATTTGCATATCTACAAGTTTATAAATTGAAATAATTACGTGGAGTTTGGGATTTTTAACAGATTTTAATATAAAGTTGATTAAATGTGAGGTTGAAACATCGATAAAAGTGTTTGATCCGATAAAATATGTGATTGAAAATGAGTTTGAGAAAAAATAAATAATAAAAATTAGTATAGATTCCCGTTTGAGCTCATTAAAAATAAGTTCTTGGGAAAAATGTATTTTGGGATGTGTTTTTGTAAAAGTAAGGAAATTTTTTATATTTATGTGTAATATTATTTTATCAGTTCCAATGTATCAACTATTTCTTGAATCTATGGACTTGGTGCAGGCTGGGTTGTATCCCAAAATAGTGAGTGTTGGTGGTGTTGGGTCAGTTGGGCTGGATAGGTATATACTTTAAGCTCGTGTTTGGTTTGGCTAAAATCATATTTTCTGTACATTTTGATAAAAGTTAATAAAATATATGATTAAAAATTGATAAAGTTGTGCATATCATAAAATGTATAATTAAAAATAAATTTGACAAAAAAATGTACATTAAAATTTTGAGATCAAACAGGGGCTATCTGAACTTCTAATCGCAATTGGGCTAATATCCGAAGACTAACCTACTAAAGTTGGGCTTATTTAATGGGCCAACTTAGACCGCTGGGTCTTCGAAAAGATTTGACCTTCTAGAGTCGATTTATAATCTCTATTGGATGGACCCTCTGTGTACTCATTGAGAAGGGAAAAGTTTACGTGAAAATTTCAAATGTTAGAGATTACGTATCATTCATTTTTAAATTAAGATATAAAATTTAAAACTTCAAAAAATCAGATATTGATTAAATTTTATTTTGTGAAATAATTGATTAAAAATATATTTTATAAATTAAATACATTAATATCACAATTCTATACAATTTAGTCTCAATTATCAAATTAATTGGTTATAAATTATTTTTGGGTCACAAATAAAAAATTTTATAAGTCACAAATTATTTCACGATCAAATATTTTATCGGTTACAATATATTCATCGGTCACAAATCAAGACAATTATAGGTCACAATTTATTTATCGGTCACAAATCACAAATTTTATAAGTCGCAATTTATTACACGGTCAAAATTTATCAAATTATTGGTCAAAAATTAACAAATTTTTAGGTTATATATTATTTATTGGTCACAATCAACCAAATAATTTGTAATCACCACCAACACTAGTGACCACCACTTTACTATGGCCTCCAGTCGCACCGTCGACAACACCGCCGCCAATACTTCCCAACAACACCACCGGGTTGTGCTACCGTCGGCACTACCTCCAACAAATTATCATTTTCAACTTCAACTTCAAAATCACCATCACCACCCCACCCCCAACAAACCACCATATTTAACTATAAAACCACCATCAATGTCAACGTCAACGTCAACACCAACACCAACACCAACACCACCATCGCCGTCTTCGCCACCAGCATTGCCACCATCTTACCATCAATGTCACGGCTAGGAGTAGCAGAAGCACCACCTCTCATATCAAAAATTACAACCACTATCTCCATAACACCACAATCACCACACCCATCAAAAAATCCCCAAACCTATTGTCGTCGCCATCACTGCATCACTACCACCGTCTTATCAAATCCATAGCAGATTGCAGTCCACAATTGCGGCGTCGCTACAAGTTGTATGTGTGTCAGCTGAGTGGCGAGCATGTCGCTTGTAGTTGCTGCTGCAGCATCGCACACAATGACGTCGTTGCACGCTGAGCGTGACATGCTGTTTTGACTTCTAACGACGTTGTTGTGCATCATCGCCTGCTAAGCGACGACAGTAGAAGAGAGGCAATTGAGAGGATAGATAAAGAGAACATAAATGAAAATTGATTTATGGTTAGGGCTTGGGTTGGATGGGCGTGGGGTGGTTATGTAGATTAAATTATTTTTATAAAATTATTATTAATATTAAAAAATTATATCATTATCTGATTTTTATATAAACAAACCTTGAATCTGCTTTTTGAAATAAAAATTTTAAAATACGTTTCCATGTAATTTCCACAAAGTTTGATAATAAGAAAATAAAATAAGAATAAGAATTAAATTTTAGAGTTATTTTATAATTTCTGTTGCTTTAAAAAATCAATTTTCTTATCGTTTTCATAGAGTTAAGTACCCAAGTAAAAGGCTTGTTATCTAGGGCAACTTACAAAAATAGCCTTAAAATTAGGCGTCCTTTAAAAATCACATGAAAAGTATTTTGAAAATAAAAAATACTATATAAAATTAAATTCCATTTTTCACACGATGACACTTTTTTAATTAAAAAACTATGGACAATGTCACTTTTACTAAAAAGTGATGTTTGTCGGTCAAAAAAAAAAATAAAAAATTCAAGAAAATGATGTAAAAAAGTGACAAACACTAAAAAGTGATAGTTCAAAAAAGTGAGAAAACACTTGAAAAATGACCAAAATTAAAAATATTGTGAAAAACACTAATTAAAACATTAGAATAAGTTCAATAAAATGGTTGAAAAAAAAAAAACACACAATCATCGTCTCTCCTCTTTCTTTGTTTGCCGCCAAACATAGTTGAGTCAAATCTCCAACAAAACACCAATCAAAATGTCAATTATCTTTAAATCAATTCATCGGCATCATCATCTACCAACTTAATCAACTCATTAATCATATAAAAAGTTTTTCTATATCAAAAGAATGACAAAAGGAGACATAAATTTAAAAAGGTGATGAACATTAACAAAAACGACAAAATATCAATCAAAACATGAAAATATATCATTTTATGCAAATTCAGTCACTCCACCACCGCCACCTCCACCAAGGCCAACCTTGCGGGCAAAAGATCACTCAAAACATCACATCAAACACCAACCTTGATTTCAGTCGAGACTTCATAAAAGAATATACAAGCACCAAAACATAACATTTGAATTCAGCGGCAATTCTATCCTACCAAGAAATCAATTGTTATAAAAATAAACACATAATGACAAGAAATCAGTTAGACTTGAACCAGAGGGCTCATCGCACCTACTGTCCAACCAAAATTAAAACGACTTCTTTTTCATTTCTTTCCCGAACATTTGTTCTACATGATAATTTTTACATTTTCTCAAAAGTTTTAATACGTGAGTTAAAAAGGGAAATACAAGAGATTTACAACCTCATTCTATACAGAAAGTTAGAAGAAACATGAACTGCTTTGTTGCAATCTAATAACCAACAATTCAACGATATTGCTTGATAAAACGAGGGCTGCATTTTGGGCTACTGTGTTTAGCTGGCTTCTCATGGTACTTTGCAGCTAGTTCCCTTGGAGACTTGGGACCCCCTCTCTTTCGATGTGTTCAATTTCTTGATCAATGCTTTGGCATCATTTCCTAAACGGCTAAGCCTAACAAATCATAAATGTCAAAAATCCCATATCGTCAATTTTAAATTGTCGAAGTTTCCCATAAATCGTTGGACGAAGTTTATGCGCACAAGTAAACGCAGATAAATACAAATATTCAGGTTATGCAAAACTTATAAGTATGAAGTCATTTCTGAGTCCATGATATTCGACAAAGTGAAAAACGCCACTTTCTCTACGATGGAGAAACTAATCGGGAGAAAATTTCTCAGGAGCCAGAATGCTCATTGAAGCAAAAATGAGGGAATTAGGTTTCCAAACAGCGAAAATCGGAAGCATTTGATGAATGTATGATTGAAGGCAAAACGAAGAAGATAATCCGAATGAACTGAAAGAAGAATATGAAAGGGAGTGGCGGTTAATGGTGGTGAAAGGCAGTGGCTATTGCCATTGGCATCGGCAAATTGTATGAAAGGGAGACTGTTGAAGTCAAATTGGAGTTAATAGAAAGGAACGTATTTTATACTCTTTATTTTTTAATGCATTCTATTTTTCATATTGAGGAAATTACACCTACCCCTACTTTTAGATTACCATTTTCATAAATAAGACAAGAAGTTTAACTTTTCAAAATTCAGGTTATAATTAAAGAATTTAATATTAATAATTATTTTCAAATTCAATTTAATCATTTTGAATTCCTCACTGTACCCTCATTCTTCACCGTTTTCTCTCTCTGTCCTCAACGTGCCGTCGCCATCTTCTACCTTTTCCTTGCCGAGGACTCTGGCGCTTGAAGCGACGGACGGTGGCGCTCGAAGATCCAGTCGGTATTTCCCTAGGGTTTTTCAGATCCGCCGTCTCCAACCTCTCTCCTCCCACTGCCCCTCTCC